TAATAGCAGCTCAAAGGCAGAAATAATGATCGTTAATTTATTTCCTCAAATTCAGAATTCGCTAATTAGAAATCGTTTTTATTGAACGCTTTTGGTTTCGATTCTTATTATTTTTTTGTTTTTTGTTTTAAAAATATAAAATATAAATTTTAAATATTTTTTTGACTATTTTGCAGGAAAAAAGACAATTAAATGAAACTATTGATAAAGAACGGCAATTTATCCTAAAATTTTTTGTAAATTTTCATTTTTAAAACAAAGTTTTTTCTAGAAATTTGAATTCTCAAACAGATTTCAAGAAGTAATACTGGCATAAATCGTAATATGTAAGAGAAAGAATGACTCATGAAAGAGTGACTAATTACTCTGATAATAAAAATATTTTAAAATTGCCTAAATCCTACGCCTCATAACTAACAATTATTATAAATAACCGCTCCGAGAAAAGTTCCATAAAACAAGAAACCACCGTATTTTACATAATCACAAGCAGCCGCTAATAACCATCAAAAAATCCTTCGCATTAATGCGCTATATCTCCGAATTTGTAATATATATATAAAATTTTATAATATAAATATTAACATCAAATATTATAAAAATATTGATTAATACAACGAATTCTCCTTAAAGCAACTTCATCGTGCCATCGGGTGAAATCTTTTTTGCCTTTCTATCAGTCGATTTGCACTGAAAGATTTAAAATTTATATAAATTAGCCGAAATTTATGAATTAATTTAAATTAATTTTAAGATAATTTCAAAATATTTCACATTTTTTTCTTTGCTAAAATGTTTTTTTTTTGATCTTTTTTAATTTTCATTTTAATCATTTCATTTTACTTGCAATTTGATAAAATTTAAATTTTAAATTTTATTATTTTCCATTTTTCGTGTAAAATCTATGTTATTTAACAGTATTTTAAAAAATTTTTCTCATTGATATATCAGAAATTTTCGCATTTTTCTTAGATGTTCAACAAACAATATTCAATATATTGGAGTCATTTGGAATCGTGAAATCTATAGTAACCACGGCCAGAACGGTTGGCTTAGCCGTTGATATTATTCGCCATTACATTTAAATAGGCTTTTGTCAACGTTATATTCCATTTGCGTAAAACTCCGAGAACTTCTGAAACGAATGGGTGATCTATCTGTTTCTGAAAGTATTTGCTCTTAAAGAAATAGAAAAGCCCTGAGAGTGGGAAAAAGCAGCAGTTTGCGAAAGGGCTCGGGAATATGGTAGATGAAGAAAGAGCTATAGCTAATTTCAGCTATTTTGTAAAGTGAACAGTGGACATATAGTTTGAGTTCGTCGTTTCGAATGATGGGCTTCTGTTGGGTAACGTTGGATGCCCATTTCGTAGTATTAAAAAATCAAGAAAAATGCCTAACTTTTTTCTTACCTATTGAAAAATAGTTTTAAAACTGCAGATGTTTGACACATATGGCGATAAACCGTGGAAGTAAATTCGCCCTTCCGTTACCTGCATAAATCTTGTTTAAATGGAATATACAAAATAATTCATCAATAATAATCAGCAATAATTCATAAAATACTATCCGTAGAGATTTTTAAAAATTAACACTGCTAATTGAATGGCTTTAATAAATGAATGTTAAAAACTAAATTAAGAAGATGCAATCGCGCAGTTCGATAATTACTTCCTCTTGAAACAGCTCTCACTATTGCCGGTTAGGCTGGCTCCGCTGGCTACAAAAGTAAGACGTTTCCAATCTGCCTGGTCCGATGCCATATAGCAAGGTCGAACGAATTGCAGCTATATGATAATCATTACTTAACTGCATGAAACTAATAACCATAGAACGATCTATAAGCGATCTGAAAAAAACATATTATCTCCATTAGATATTTTAAAATACTCCTATCGAATATATTTTGTATCGCATGAACCACTACGAAAACAAAAATAAGAAGACTTACCAAAAATTGGGAAAGTATGCTTCGTTCAAATTTCCCCGAACTACGACTAGCATATAATGATTCAAAGTGTTTGTTAATTTCGGGTAATTTCCAACCCAACACACATTTCCTACAGCATGGAGTTTTCAGACGAGTATTAATAAATTATTTAAAAGAGTAAATTTTTGATTTGCAAATATATTTATTTATAAAATTTGCAAAAATGAATTTCTGAAAATTTTAATTTATTTCATCCAAGCGACAGGAATTGAATCAAACCTAAAAAAAAAATCGTGGAAAAGTACCACTTTGCAATCCAATAAAATATCGCATTTTTAAGGATTAACAGTATACACAATTGTTTCTATCAATATGCAACTTTGGCAACTATTAATCTGAATATTTTCTTATCAGTGGTACTTTTTTAGTTTTACACTCCATTTTTCTCAAATTGTAGACAGGTAATTTGAATTATTTAACAATTCAAGAGAAGAATGCTTGAAATCAATGAGCTTTTAATAATCTTTTATTTTTTATGACTTTATATTTGTAGTTTCTTCTAAAGCTTTTTTTATCCAAAATAATCATGGAAATTGATACAATTTGCCATTATTATAGAAGTATGGATGCATTAACGTTTATTTTGTTATTTTATGAGTATAAAAATAAATTATAAGTCATAAGCAATAGGAAACTTCTATTGTTAAATTTTCAAAAAAAATTTCAAAAATCATCAAAAAAATTTTTGGAGCGAAAGGCATTTGCATATTTCCAATAAATGCATCCAAACATTGCGAATAACCTTAAAATATACAAATTTCACTAGTAAGAAAATCAATGAAAACGATTTTCTTTAATTCTTAACGATTTTTAATCTTTATTAAGCACAAAAATATAATGCTATTACTATTACTACGATATACGATATAAAATTTGGCCATTGGCTATGGCCAATTTCCGCAAAAATAAAATTCCGCAATATGTGATCCATTAAACTTAAAATATAGTCGAAAACAAATAAAAAAGAAAAACAACAAGCCTTAAAGTGAATAAATTTCAAATAACACGCACGCAAGAAAACTCTCCCTCAGGCATAGACGCCGATGTTTAGAGATGTCGGGCAAAGATCTACACTCTGCCCGCTTCTAGCGCTATAAAAACTCGCAAACGATCACTCCTGTTCATTCGAGAAATGGGAATGATGAGGGAAGGTGGAGGGTGAAGGAAAGGAAGGGATAAGGGTGAGGAAAATGGTAGGAAATAGGGGGCTGGGAGGTTTTGGGCAGGGCAAGTTAACCGCGTGGCTATCCTCGCCGTCATCGTCTTTGTCGTTATTCTCGTCGTCGTCGTCGTTCGTTGTAATCGTTGTCATCGTTGTCGTCGTTATCGTCGTCGTCGTTGTCGTTATCATCGTTGTCTTTGTCGTCGTCGTCTTCGTTATTGTTCTGGTCATCGTGGTAGTTGTTCTTCTCGTTGTAATCTTTTATCTTTTATTTTTGCCTTTTTTACAAATTTTTATCAACTTTTTAAATTCGCCCAAGAATCACCCAAGAAATGTCAATGAACTTTGCCAAATAAATTGGACCAAAAAAGGAATATTGGTGAGTAATAATAATAATTTTTATATTTAGCGAAAAAAATTTCTTTTAACTTTTTCGACTCAATTGAGGTTCTCATTATGTGTCATTATTATTATTAGAATTAATCTTTATTTTAATTCATTTTAATTTGAGGCATTTCCTTGAGAGTGCAGCAAAATTTTTTACAAAAGTTTAATTCTTTGCAGGAAATCTTAGTAGAAGCTTACAACGCTTAAAATGTCTATATGTCTATAGTTTGGCAATGAAGGGGACGCGTGTAAAAACGGAGTGCATGTGAATCTTGTTGAACCTGGATGATTCCAATATTTCGTGGTAATAACTTTTTTTTGAAATGAAATTTTTGTGCTCATTTGTGTTTATTTAGACAAATCTCAAATAACTGCAAAGAGATACATGAATCTATGCAAGTAGGAATCGCTTTAGGCCTTTTAAAAATGGAAATTATATTAGATTCTCTAAACTGCTGAAGAAAAATGCGACTTATTTACAGGTTCATAATTTTTCACATTCATCTATAATGATTTTCTGTTGAAAAAATTTAAAAAATCTTTTGCTACATTTGGCATTTTTCATTTTTCTTATGTTTATTTCATTAATAATCATTTCAGAGATAAAAATTTTAATGCTGCTCAAGTCAACGATATTTCAATGATGTTCGGAATCATGCGCTTTTGTGATAGAGAATGTTTTCATTATTTCATTATGTTATATATTATACATCGTAATATTAGGTATTTCGCAATGTTTTAGATTTGATGTTTATTTTTAATTTGCATACACTTTTTATAATAAAAATTGAATTACTAAAAAACTGAATTATTACAGGCACGGAAATAGCTGGATGCAATACGTAACGGCTTTAACGCATGTGGATTGAAGCGCACTTTTCCTCGTCGATGTTCTTCTAGTCATTGTCGTTGTTGTTATTCTCGTCTTCATCCTCGTTATCGTTGTTCTCATCGTCGTCCTCGTTGTTGTTATTCTCGTCGTCGTGATCGTTGTTGTTGTTCTCGTCGTCGTGATCGTTGTTGTTGTTCTCGTCGTCGTTATTTTCGTTCTCTTTGTCGTCCTCGTTGTTTGTTCTCGTCGTCGTCATCGTTCTTCTCGTCGTTGCTTTAGGACTTCTGGATGAATTTATCGTCGCTTTAACCAAAAAGGCCTTAAAATATTACAGAACGTCCTTGTGGAGCGCCGGAGAGTCGTGGACGATCAGATATTTTGCGCATTGAAGAATCTCGACCAGAAGCAATTCGTAATGGTATCCATTGTCGTTTTCCGAATGCCAAGCATGTAAGTATTTTGTTTGCCAATATATTTTAATTTTTAATTGTATTTATAATTACAATTATAATTGTTTTATAATTATATAATCCTTATAACTCTCCCACGCTAATTTATTTGTAGCAGATAAAGCCGATTAAAGTGGCTATGAAGCGCTTCAAGTAAAGAAGAATGTGCATAAAATCAAAAGCATGTACATTTCTATTAAAAGTGGTAAGTCCAAAAAATATTAACCAGATCGTAACGAATTTAGTTATTGGAATTAATCCTACAGCCAATATCACTATGGAAAAATTTTTTTGTTCGTGTAGATTTTTTATCGCTCGATATTTGAATTCAGCTTTCGCCATTTTAACGAAGCAGCTGAAATCTCATATCAAACGTGTATATGAATAAAACTAGGACAAATATTTCGTATTAGAGGAGCGCGATGAAATTCTCCACAAAGATCGAATTGAAACTAGTGATGTAGAGAGAGCAGTCACGGTTCAGGTATGCAGCAAGTTCTTGTATGTTTTGCTTAGCTTTGCTTTTTCTTATGTTATATCATTAATTTCAGGGCACTTTTGAAGACATCTCTAGTGAGAAGGAACGATATGCTAGAACGATAGAACGGTTGTGTGAAGGAAAATGAAATTGATGGAATTCTGTATTTCTCCTATGAAATGCTAAAGTATAAGAGGAAAAGAGACACAGAAAATTAATAAATAAGTCAGTTTTTTCATAGGATTTCGTCAAAATTTCGAAAATAGAGAAGAAATTATTTATTCACTTATAATATGTTCATTTGTCTGTTGAATTGACATGATAAATTAATATAAAAAAATTAATATATAATATATGTAATTTGTACGGGTTTCATTCTGTGAGTACTTTTTTTGAATAAATATTGCCAAATAAACTGCTGAAGCACTCAAACAGGATATTAATGGAAATTATTGTAAAAATAAAAAATGAAATAGGGATGAAACAATTCTTTAAAGTATCAATGAAAATTCGCATCATCCAAATAGGAATAATTCCTAGTCTACCTGATTTTCCATATATATATCCCTTAAAATACGAATTGTCAATGGCTGCCATGCATTTGTGCGATTGGATTTTTATTTTGTCAAGAAGAGTGGAGAATACGTGCCGGAGAATTTGTGGGTTGCGCGACTATCTATCAAGTAACTCCCACCAATTTTTTTTAAAACGTTCCATAACAGATTCTAAAAGATTGAAAAGCGAAATTGTAAATTTCAATGACGACTTGGATTGCCTTTAACAGCGACTTGTAGAGACGAAAGAAGGTCGAAATTAGAGCCACAAATAGCTATGGCGGTGCACTTCGAATAACAATAATGCATTAGTGCGTGCGCATAAACTTGCGGCTATTGTACATTATCAGTGCAATTATATTTTTATTAGCACTTTTATATATTAAAATTGCCACAAATTATCATTCCTCATAATCAGCTCATTATACATTGAAATATTTTTGAAGAAATATTGAACATTAATTATTATAAAAAGATTATTTGATTTAATGAAATATCCGCAAAATAGAGATATAATTTAAATTAATGAGGCTATAAATCAATAAAAGAATACAAAGATTTGTTGATTTTATGTTTCTCAAAAAATTTTTAGTATCAACATTAATTCATGATCCTTATAAGTGGATATGTCTAAATTTTTATTTTGATTATTTCTTTAATGTATTTCGAAGGCATTGATGCAGTAATTTGCAAAAACTTTTTTTGGTTCTTGTCCGTAATCAGTACAATTATATATTATATTCATATTAACCCTTAATGTTCCAGGCCTCTAGTAAAGGAACCAAGATGATCACGACCAGTCATGAGGAATAAGAGAAAAGTTTCTTAATTTTATTTCGTATTAATATTAATACGGATTAAAAATCCTTTAAATTCTGGCTTTATCAGAACTTTCCTAAAAATTCGGCAAAATGAAACTATTTTTAATTTATCTTCTTCTGTGAACACTATTTTGCTATTCTAACTTTGAAGAAAATGCTGAAGAATTAAATTCTAGATGTTTTGAATTTTAATACTTCAAGAAAAACATCATACTATTCAGTTTTTTTCCTAAATAACCAAACGGAATTTTAAAAAAAGTTTTTTAATGACACTTTGTTTTTCGAACCTATAAATTCGACATTCTGAGCACTTTGGATGGCAAATTCAATAAGGCGCTTTTCACTTCGACACTCTTACGATTCATTGAAATAGTTTTATAAACTAGCGAACGAAAATTTACCCGTTTTTTCGCTGATTTCACTGTAATAATAATTTGCATAATTTATTTAAATTATTTTATTATAATTCACATAATTTTAGTCTTTTACCATAGTCTTTGGCAACTATTAATCTGAATATTTTCTTATCAGTGGCACTTTTTTAGTTTTACAATTTCATACTCCATTTTTGTCAATTTGTAGACTGATAATTTGAATTATTTAACAATTTAAGGGAAAAAAATGCTTGAGATCAATGAGCTTTTAATAATCTTTAGAAAAATGAGGCAATTATTTTCTTATGAATTTTAAACAATAAAAATTTTTTTTCTAAGAGCGCTCACCATTACTAGTAAAACTCGCATGGCTGATTTGTCGCATTGGACAAATATTGCAGGGAATCCCTTAGCGATAGATATACGGGTGAGAAGCGCACTTTAAACTTTAAACTCAATAATATTTGACCAGATAAATTTTGTCAAGGAGTTACATGGCGGCAGAAATACTGCACCAACCGAATTTTTGAAAGATAGGTTTGTTCTTGTCATGCTCTTTGAAAAATTGCCTCAAATATTTTAAACTCAAACTCCTAAAACTCAAAACCATGCTAAAATTTTTTGCTATAATCTCCATAACTTTTCGTATATATAATTTATAAATTTTGCAAAATTAATTTAAGACAAAAAATCTTCGCCTTAAATTTTCCACTCCGTTTTCGTCCTCATTTTTCATTTTTCTTTTTTAAATCAATGTTTTACTCCTTTTGAATAGTCTTAGTGAGATATCGTTGACTTGAGCAGCATTAAAATTTTTATCTCTGAAATGATTATTAATGAAATAAACATAAGAAAAATGAAAAATGCCAAATGTAGCAAAAGATTTTTTAAATTTTTTCAACAGAAAATCATTATAGATGAATGTGAAAAATTATGAACCTGTAAATAAGTCGCATTTTTCTTCAGCAGTTTAGAGAATCTAATATAATTTCCATTTTTAAAAGGCCTAAAGCGATTCCTACTTGCATAGATTCATGTATCTCTTTGCAGTTATTTGAGATTTGTCTAAATAAACACAAATGAGCACAAAAATTTCATTTCAAAAAAAAGTTATTACCACGAAATATTGGAATCATCCAGGTTCAACAAGATTCACATGCACTCCGTTTTTACACGCGTCCCCTTCATTGCCAAACTATAGACATATAGACATTTTAAGCGTTGTAAGCTTCTACTAAGATTTCCTGCAAAGAATTAAACTTTTGTAAAAAATTTTGCTGCACTCTCAAGGAAATGCCTCAAATTAAAATGAATTAAAATAAAGATTAATTCTAATAATAATAATGACACATAATGAGAACCTCAATTGAGTCGAAAAAGTTAAAAGAAATTTTTTTCGCTAAATATAAAAATTATTATTATTACTCACCAATATTCCTTTTTTGGTCCAATTTATTTGGCAAAGTTCATTGACATTTCTTGGGTGATTCTTGGGCGAATTTAAAAAGTTGATAAAAATTTGTAAAAAAGGCAAAAATAAAAGATAAAAGATTACAACGAGAAGAACAACTACCACGATGACCAGAACAATAACGAAGACGACGACGACAAAGACAACGATGATAACGACAACGACGACGACGATAACGACGACAACGATGACAACGATTACAACGAACGACGACGACGACGAGAATAACGACAAAGACGATGACGGCGAGGATAGCCACGCGGTTAACTTGCCCTGCCCAAAACCTCCCAGCCCCCTATTTCCTACCATTTTCCTCACCCTTATCCCTTCCTTTCCTTCACCCTCCACCTTCCCTCATCATTCCCATTTCTCGAATGAACAGGAGTGATCGTTTGCGAGTTTTTATAGCGCTAGAAGCGGGCAGAGTGTAGATCTTTGCCCGACATCTCTAAACATCGGCGTCTATGCCTGAGGGAGAGTTTTCTTGCGTGCGTGTTATTTGAAATTTATTCACTTTAAGGCTTGTTGTTTTTCTTTTTTATTTGTTTTCGACTATATTTTAAGTTTAATGGATCACATATTGCGGAATTTTATTTTTGCGGAAATTGGCCATAGCCAATGGCCAAATTTTATATCGTATATCGTAGTAATAGTAATAGCATTATATTTTTGTGCTTAATAAAGATTAAAAATCGTTAAGAATTAAAGAAAATCGTTTTCATTGATTTTCTTACTAGTGAAATTTGTATATTTTAAGGTTATTCGCAATGTTTGGATGCATTTATTGGAAATATGCAAATGCCTTTCGCTCCAAAAATTTTTTTGATGATTTTTGAAATTTTTTTTGAAAATTTAACAATAGAAGTTTCCTATTGCTTATGACTTATAATTTATTTTTATACTCATAAAATAACAAAATAAACGTTAATGCATCCATACTTCTATAATAATGGCAAATTGTATCAATTTCCATGATTATTTTGGATAAAAAAAGCTTTAGAAGAAACTACAAATATAAAGTCATAAAAAATAAAAGATTATTAAAAGCTCATTGATTTCAAGCATTCTTCTCTTGAATTGTTAAATAATTCAAATTACCTGTCTACAATTTGAGAAAAATGGAGTGTAAAACTAAAAAAGTACCACTGATAAGAAAATATTCAGATTAATAGTTGCCAAAGTTGCATATTGATAGAAACAATTGTGTATACTGTTAATCCTTAAAAATGCGATATTTTATTGGATTGCAAAGTGGTACTTTTCCACGATTTTTTTTTTAGGTTTGATTCAATTCCTGTCGCTTGGATGAAATAAATTAAAATTTTCAGAAATTCATTTTTGCAAATTTTATAAATAAATATATTTGCAAATCAAAAATTTACTCTTTTAAATAATTTATTAATACTCGTCTGAAAACTCCATGCTGTAGGAAATGTGTGTTGGGTTGGAAATTACCCGAAATTAACAAACACTTTGAATCATTATATGCTAGTCGTAGTTCGGGGAAATTTGAACGAAGCATACTTTCCCAATTTTTGGTAAGTCTTCTTATTTTTGTTTTCGTAGTGGTTCATGCGATACAAAATATATTCGATAGGAGTATTTTAAAATATCTAATGGAGATAATATGTTTTTTTCAGATCGCTTATAGATCGTTCTATGGTTATTAGTTTCATGCAGTTAAGTAATGATTATCATATAGCTGCAATTCGTTCGACCTTGCTATATGGCATCGGACCAGGCAGATTGGAAACGTCTTACTTTTGTAGCCAGCGGAGCCAGCCTAACCGGCAATAGTGAGAGCTGTTTCAAGAGGAAGTAATTATCGAACTGCGCGATTGCATCTTCTTAATTTAGTTTTTAACATTCATTTATTAAAGCCATTCAATTAGCAGTGTTAATTTTTAAAAATCTCTACGGATAGTATTTTATGAATTATTGCTGATTATTATTGATGAATTATTTTGTATATTCCATTTAAACAAGATTTATGCAGGTAACGGAAGGGCGAATTTACTTCCACGGTTTATCGCCATATGTGTCAAACATCTGCAGTTTTAAAACTATTTTTCAATAGGTAAGAAAAAAGTTAGGCATTTTTCTTGATTTTTTAATACTACGAAATGGGCATCCAACGTTACCCAACAGAAGCCCATCATTCGAAACGACGAACTCAAACTATATGTCCACTGTTCACTTTACAAAATAGCTGAAATTAGCTATAGCTCTTTCTTCATCTACCATATTCCCGAGCCCTTTCGCAAACTGCTGCTTTTTCCCACTCTCAGGGCTTTTCTATTTCTTTAAGAGCAAATACTTTCAGAAACAGATAGATCACCCATTCGTTTCAGAAGTTCTCGGAGTTTTACGCAAATGGAATATAACGTTGACAAAAGCCTATTTAAATGTAATGGCGAATAATATCAACGGCTAAGCCAACCGTTCTGGCCGTGGTTACTATAGATTTCACGATTCCAAATGACTCCAATATATTGAATATTGTTTGTTGAACATCTAAGAAAAATGCGAAAATTTCTGATATATCAATGAGAAAAATTTTTTAAAATACTGTTAAATAACATAGATTTTACACGAAAAATGGAAAATAATAAAATTTAAAATTTAAATTTTATCAAATTGCAAGTAAAATGAAATGATTAAAATGAAAATTAAAAAAGATCAAAAAAAAAACATTTTAGCAAAGAAAAAAATGTGAAATATTTTGAAATTATCTTAAAATTAATTTAAATTAATTCATAAATTTCGGCTAATTTATATAAATTTTAAATCTTTCAGTGCAAATCGACTGATAGAAAGGCAAAAAAGATTTCACCCGATGGCACGATGAAGTTGCTTTAAGGAGAATTCGTTGTATTAATCAATATTTTTATAATATTTGATGTTAATATTTATATTATAAAATTTTATATATATATTACAAATTCGGAGATATAGCGCATTAATGCGAAGGATTTTTTGATGGTTATTAGCGGCTGCTTGTGATTATGTAAAATACGGTGGTTTCTTGTTTTATGGAACTTTTCTCGGAGCGGTTATTTATAATAATTGTTAGTTATGAGGCGTAGGATTTAGGCAATTTTAAAATATTTTTATTATCAGAGTAATTAGTCACTCTTTCATGAGTCATTCTTTCTCTTACATATTACGATTTATGCCAGTATTACTTCTTGAAATCTGTTTGAGAATTCAAATTTCTAGAAAAAACTTTGTTTTAAAAATGAAAATTTACAAAAAATTTTAGGATAAATTGCCGTTCTTTATCAATAGTTTCATTTAATTGTCTTTTTTCCTGCAAAATAGTCAAAAAAATATTTAAAATTTATATTTTATATTTTTAAAACAAAAAACAAAAAAATAATAAGAATCGAAACCAAAAGCGTTCAATAAAAACGATTTCTAATTAGCGAATTCTGAATTTGAGGAAATAAATTAACGATCATTATTTCTGCCTTTGAGCTGCTATTATATTCAGTGGCAAGCGAAGAAAAAATAAACTGTTTGGTCGACTCCCCTAATTCCTAAATCCTTAAGCAAGTTTCCTCACTAAGCAGTCACATGGGAATGTAGACATGGCATTTAGGAAATTATGCGTTATCGCGAAAGGCCGAAAATAATAATATAATAATATTAATAATATAATAAAAATAATAAAAATAGTAGCTAGTAAGAGAGATTGTTAGAGAAGTTAGAGTAAAAAAGAGCGTAAAAGCTTAAAAGTGTTAGAGTAACATTTGGCGAAAAATATTAATTAGTCAAAAAAGCTATAGGGTGTTAGAGAATGAAAGAAATAGCGTGGCATAAAATAAATGTTAGAATAACATTAAGCAAAAAATAGTAGCTAATAAGAGAGACTGTTAGAGAAGTTAGAATTAAATATTTAAAATTTTAAAATTTTAATTTTATATTTTATATTTATATTAAAAAAAATAGTCGAAACCAAAAGCGTTGTACAAAGAAGGTATTTGTTAAGGTATTGGCCCGGAGAGTGGGAAAATTGAAACGCGGTTTGCGAAAGGGCTCGGCGGTACGGTAGATGAGGAACGACTTAACTATAGCTAATTTCATCTATTTTGCAAAGTGAACAGTGGACATATAGTTTGATGAGCAACGTTGGATGCCCATTTGGTATTGCCTGATGGAATATTTCCAACCGGTTATTGCATGATTGCATGATTCTGATCGTTACACTAGGTTTTGTGAAGCTATAGTGGACCTGCAAGCGGTCACAAAGGTGACCGTAGTATTCTTCCATTGGAGATCGGGTTTTAGGTCAATTAGGAGAGCAAATGAATATTGCAGTTGGAACTGAAAACATCTCTAAAAGTTTAAGCATGAACTATTTTTAATACTAAAAAAACAGAAACGACTACAACTACTGCGACAGCAAAATCAATTAGACAAATTTTTATTAAATCAAAATTTGTGTTTCGTATAAAATAATATTAATTTTAAAAAATTAAGAGATTATGGCATTTAACATTTTTAGCATAAAACTGCAATTATGTAAAGTAATATTTTGAAGGAAAATTAAATTATAATAATTCACTGAAATTTATTAATAGTCAAACTTTTGAAAAAAAGAATTTTAAATGATTTTGGCTTTAAAATTTCTAATCGAATTTACAAACCATAAAAATTTTACTTAATTAATCATAAAAAATTTATTCGAAATTTAAAAAAAGTTGCAAAAATAAGATTTCTATCAGATAGAACATTGGAAAAAATTGAATAGAAATATAAAATACATAAGTAATAGAGCGTTTTGCTTATATTTTTTGCAATACAGGTCTGTTTCTTTGAGCAATGACAATAGAGCAATAAAATGGCTCAGCGGGTAATTCGGAGCGCCGATGCTGGGGTTTTAGTAAATTTGTCCAAAAATCCGGGCGGTTCTGGCGACTTACCTCGACTTCTATTGTTAAGGGACCTTCCGGCGCGCTTTTCTTGCTTGATAAGCTAGAAGAGCGACTCTAACCGGGAATGGCGAAGTCTTTTAAAAAAAAAATCATTTAGCAACTGTGCAAGATAGAATTTTATAGTTCCACGAATATTTTATTAAGATAGGTTATTTTTTTTACGCATTCTAATGGGAGTTTATTAAAATTGCTGAAAATATGTGCTCATGCACGCTGATGGCCATATTCTCGTTTCCAAATTTTTCGCATGTTCACATCGTCCTTCCTTATTTTTCTATTCTGCGCATTAAGTGTTTTGTAAAGTTTTCCAACTTAACAAACCATAAAGTTTTTAATGGATAAAGCCTTGGCATTGTAACCAACTCACAACTAAGAAACAACTAATATAGTTCAGCTAACAAAACTGTTTATTGCTGAGAACAAAAAATTTTATCATATTTCAGAAAATATATTAGAAACAATGTGAAGTATTTAAAATATTTTGAGCAAAACAATATTTTATAAACAATAATTTTAGTATAAAAAATATAGACAGAAATTTAAACGGCAAATTCCGATATTCTACTATAACGATACTATGGTTAAAAAGAATCGAATTATTTGCTTAAACCTTTGCTGTTTCCATCATCGCCCTGGAAAAATTATTAATTGAAAATAAGAAGGGAAAAGAACTGAATGAAATACGGAAAACTGACAAGTTTTCTCAGAATATTAGATCGAAATCGTTCCGCGGGTACTCAGTAAAATGACGATTTATGAGTTTTTATACGTATTCTCTATTTTAAGCACAATAATTTCGAGCATACCGTCTAGCGTTTATAAATCTTCTAAGAGTGCTCACCATTTTTTGCTCGGCTATTTACAATAATTAACCCACCAATTAAGCAGAGACCCTTTCGCTATACGGTCACTCGGAGATGGAAATGCGGGTAGGAATCCCAAAAATTTTCATACTTTCCGCTTTACATAACACATTAAGCAATAATTTGCCGAAATTTTATTTTGGTTTGGAGCGATTTTGATGAGTTCTTTTATTAAAAATGGAAATTACAAGCAAAAATATTTGAAATAATATATACCGCCATTTTATTTAATTTCATTATATCTCCGATATCTTGGATTTCTCTTTTGGACAGGAATTTATGAATTGTCTTTTCGAACTGAATTTGCTCCTAAGAAATAAAAAAAATCAGTATTATTCTCAAACGGAGTTAAGCAGCTTATAATGAAAATTTTTCGCACTTGATTCAATAGAAAGAGCCCCCGCCTTCCATCATTTCTAGCATTTGGATCTGCATCTTGTGCAAATGCCACTAATGCCGACAAAAGCTTGCTGGCCTCAGAGCATTTGATGGCTTGAGATGGACCAATTCGCTTCACTAATTTCACTACTAAACTGGCACAGCTAGCACGAATCGCATTATTTTTGCTTCTGAAAACAATCGGTATAAATCTAAAATTATTGCCTTTAAGTGGCTAAAACATTGTGTGATGTTTTATAATTGAAAAAATGAGCGGTACTCCATCTTTTTCCCCTCCGTGATGAGAGCCATTCCAAAATTTCCTAAATTTTCCATAGCTCCAATTGCAATGCCTACTTTATATCGCCTCTCATTCACGTAGGATTTTCAATTACTCTATCTAAATCTGCACAACTGGCTACCAAGTAGGGAAGTTAGATCTCTTTTCAGCACTGATTTTTCTTTAATGATGTGCTAAATGTGAAGTTAGTATTGTTTTTGAATTGAGATATCCTGAACAGATTCATCGATGATCTTTGAAATATCAATACCTTTAACCGTATCATAATTATAGAAATCGCTTACGTTATTACAGTTACATCAAGCAGCGCCGCAAGTACATCCATCGTTGCTGTTGATGCATTTTTAATTATTTCATTCAATGCATCATATGCACTTCTTCGTATAAATGCATGGCTTACATCGCCAGTTTTTTGTAGCAGAGTCAAACAAACCTTTAAAGGCTTTTATATCATTAATTCGAAAAATTTTTCAGATTTCTTAACTGAAAAAATAAAAAAAACATGAAAATTATCAAACTGGCATCACCAAATTCCCGTGGATAATTTTATTTAAAGTAACAAATAAGAAAAGTTGAAAGAAGAATAGTTTTAAATTATCATTAGATTGAGCCATTAAAAGAAAGCAATCAAAACCTTTTTAAGGTCAAAATTAATCACTTTTACGTTCGAAAATAACTGCCCTGTGGCAAATATTGCAGTTCGCGATAATGCTGTGCGAATATCTTTGCATTCTTCAACTAATCGGTCGAAAATTCTGTTTGAATACTTTTCACATATACACGGCGATATTTCTGATATACAGAGAATCATGTTGATCGCTGCTACTTTATCAGTCCTAAAAATAATTAATGCTATCTGATAAGTTTTTTGATTTTATACAATATTTGCTCAAATAATTTATTTTAGAAAGATGTGAACTAACCAATCTGTACTCCTAAATTTTTTCAACGTTTTCCTCATTTCCAATTCAACTTCTTCTAAACTACTTTTATATTTTTTTGCCATTATTCCTAATGCACAACCACTCGCACAACCGTTCTACAAACTGTTGATGTTTAATGATAAAATATTTCCATTGTTGCTTGATGCTTGTAAGTTGGAAATTTGCATGGATAGAACATTTGAAATGTCATTTTACAATAAATAAAATCAGATCTAATAAATTTAGCGATATCAGAAAAGTGTCGCATAAGCGAGCGACATTATTTTAATTCATTTTGATAGATATTTTCCCTGGAAATGTTACGATTGAGAAAAAATTTTTCCATAAATTTAATGAAATCGATGAAATTCCCTAATTAGAATTATTTTCAATGGAACTTATTAAAGAGGTCAATTTTATTGTTTTGTTTTAATGAAGAATGCGATAGGCAAAGGAATCTCAGCGTGAATCTTAGCCCATCGATGATCAAATACTAAAACTGTCAAAAACCCACTCGAAAATGCAGTTCCCTGGCAAAAATTTCGCAATAAGCTAACCGCTAGTACCATAAGAAAGAATTAAAAAATGAACGAACTTAATTATAGTAAAAAGTCATTGAAATTAAATGAAATTAACTTTTATAAAAATAATTAAAATGGTGAAAAATTAATTTAATTAAAATTTAAAATGCTAAAATAATCAAAAAATTTAAAAAGAAAATTAATGTACAAACTAATAAATTTTATTGCCATTTTTCACTAATAATTTCGATAATTTCGCGCCAATTTTCTAGAATTTTCGAAAAAAATTTCTTTTTTCACTTAAAATATTAGAAAACATAAAATTTTTTTATGAAAATGCATTTACAAGAAAAATTCGAAAAAAATAAAAAAATATTTTTTGAAAAATGAATTTCTGACCTTTGACCTCGGTCAAAAGAAAATTAAAAAATATACAAAAAATCTCAAGAAAATATGAAAAATTTTAAAAAAATTCTAAAAAACCTTAAAAAACACCTTAAAATTCGCTCAAATAAAAAATATTTTTGCAAACGAAAAAAAGGAAGAAAAACAACTGACCTCTCGGAAATGATCGGAAAAGTAAGACGAGTACTGTATTTTCCGATTTCAACTTCCGTAACTCTTTTTTTTCGCCAATTTTGTGAAAATATTACGAAAAATTGCGATGCGAGAATGTCAGAGATGCATGATAGTACGCTTTATTAGAGAATTGGAGAAATTGCGCACTTATAGAGATAATGAGTGGAAAAGAGATTTAGAGAAAAAGCACAAAAATGACGTCATATAATTTTTTATCCAATCGATTAGCTAAAAATGTTGCAAATTATTTTGAAAAAATCTGAATTTTTTTTAAAAAGTTAAATTTAAAATTTTTTTCGCAGAATTTTTTTAAATTTATTTTTTAGTGTTTTTTATTGCTTTTTTATTTTATTTTATGGAAATAGCCTATATCTCATGAAATAACAACTGATAAGAGAACTGATAAGGCGACCGATAACTTCAAATTGTCTTTTTACATCATCTTTAATGCAATTAATTTTCGTATTTTTAGGTTTTTATTAAAAGTTTATCAATTAAATTAATACCAATGGGTTGTTTTCGTCTAAAAAAATTCACTATCATTAAAGTCGTTAACAAATATTGTTAAAGATTATCAATAGATTCTATTTTAATATTAAAATTTGATAAGGCTTATCAGAAAAATAAGCCTTTCAAAAAAAGTTCGAGTTACACTAGCGGCTCGTTCTAAATTTCTGTCTATAAAAAAGTGTTCGCAGGTAAGGACTGATAAGAGTACGAATTTTATTGCTGGTGATGAATAATGAAATTATTTTATACACTGAGGCGTTTTTCTTGTTTAAGGATTATCATTAAAAATTATCAGTGGAATCGATTTTGATACGAAAAAATTTGAGATGAAATTTTCTTTGGCCTAAGATTATTTTCTTCTTCTTCTTTATCATCGTTTATCGCCAAATTTTACCTGAAAAGCGCGAAATTATGAATATTTCTATTGCTTAGTTTACGATTCGTCCCTTTATTTTTCACCAAAGAAAAAGCATTATTAAATATTTTTGTATGTTTTATATTTATTGTTATTTTTTATTATAATTTATTTCTTTATGGACGAAGAGCGAATGGAGGAGGGGGAAGGAGGAGGGGGAAAAGGAAATGGAACAGACGACCAGTTTTCAAACTGTGCATACCCAGTACCATCCAATGAATCTGCCATCGAAATCGAATTAAAACACTTCAGAGCTAAGGATCATTTCACAAGTCATTCAACATATAGAGCAGCCATTGAAGGACATTTATGTAACGGTTTGTTCCTGAGGATATTTTTGAAATGTAGCGCAAAATTTTTTATTCAACTCTAATTTGCTGATATTTTTCATCAAATTGAGATGGATGAAGCAGCTGCGGGCAGAACCAAATAAAAGGCTGTGCGGTTGCAATAGGGGTTACTTTCTCCCCTATCCCTCTTCTCCCTTCTCCCCTCACGGAATTCTTATTATTTTTTGATTATTGATTTTTAGGATTTCAGGATTTTTAGGATTTTTTAGGTTCAAATTTTGTTCAAAAGCCTTAAAAATTTTTGTTTTTCTTATGCTTAAATTCGCAAATGCATTTCTTTAATTCTTCTAATTTAAATGGTACATTTTTACTCGTTCCTCAGAAATATTACTGTTTGCTTTGATCGATTTGTATTTCATAATGAGTTATTCACGGCTCATAGAGAAATTTTAGAATGGCTCAGCGGATTGTTGCTTAATTCGAAGCGCCGATAGTGAGGTTCCAATCCCCGCAGGAGTAAATCTACCGAAAAATGCGGGCGAAATCGGCGACTCATCTATGCTTCTATCGCCAAGCGACTCTCTGGCATATTCTAGTGCGAGAAGCCAGGAAGCGAGTCTAACCAGTAATGGCGAGGACTCTGAAAAGAAGGTGAAATCTTAGGCTCCTAGCTTTCTATTTTTTAATAGATTCGTGCGTTAACTTTTTTGTCCAATAACTGAACTTTCAGAGTTTTCTTCAGTTATGAAATTACAGGTCAACATTAGCAGGAAATCATGGACAAATTATTTTATTATTTATTATTATCATTTTTTATTATTATTATTTTATCATCTCTTATTATTATTTTTTATTATTTTTATTACTATCGTTTTATTTTTATTATTTTCATCGTTATTATCATTTTTTATTATTATTATTTTTATTTTAAATATTTTATAATCTATCTCTTATAGAAAAATATTTTATACGGGATTTGCGAGGTTTCTTTTAAATAAAATTTTAATTTGAAATTTAGATCAAAATACTTACATGAATCTACAGGGAGATCATTAATTTATTAGATTTATCATTTAATTATAAATATTTATGCAAAATACCTAATTAAAGGTGTATTTATAAGATGATTTAGCCGCATTTAATCATTATTTACATCGTTAATTTTCATACGCCATATTTTATTTTTAACATTTTTGTTTGTTTTTAAGTACCATTAAATTTGAGTCAATTTTTTAAAAATCCGCATGACGTTAGACGATCCACCAATTGTTCGATAAGCTTTAATAGAAATTTTGAGAATTTTTAGGAAAGAAAAGTGATAATGAATTGTGGATGCATTAATTGGCGAAAATTAATATATTTTATTTATTAATTAATAAATTTGAGCTATTTAAATAATTTTTTAATCATTTTTTTAAAACAATATTTATAAATGAATGGATAATTGAAAATAGATTTGTAAATAGATTTAAAATAGATTTATTAATTTATTGAGAAAAAATAAAGTTTTTTTGAAGCAATTTTATCACAAAATATTTTATAGTAAAACAATTTTAAAGAAATTCATTTAATGTGAAAATTTAGTGTTTTAATGAAAAATTACAAAATTAAAAAAAATCCAATCGATCAAGAAAAATTTAACATAATAAATTTAATCAAAGTAAAATAAATAAAATTAAATAAATAAATAAATTTAACCTTATATGATAAAGAATTATTAATATTTTTAAATTTACAATAAAAACAATGGGCTAAGTATGTTTCAAATGAAATACGAATTGGTAATCAGCGAAATTATTACCAAAATTTATTTCAATTTAATTGTGATTAATTTTCTTAAAATAATTGAATGGAACAGAATGTGGCTTAGCGGGTTTTTGTTCATTTAGGAGCGTCGATGCGCAGTTTCTACTCCCCGCAGGAGTAAACATGTTCAAAAATCCGGCTGTTGCTGGTGCTTATATCGCCAATAGATTCGAATTCGCTGGCATATTTGTCCAGTGCGACAAGCCAGTGGAATGAGCCTAATCAGTAATAGTGAGGGCTCTTTAAAAAATATTAAACTTTTATGCCTCAGGTATACAATAAAACAGATTATTTTTATATTTTTATAAAATGGAATAAATTATTTTTTCAGATTTTTCGTGTATCACGTATATCTGCTTATAGACTCTTCCTTCAAAACTGAGAGATTATTCCGTTTCAATGGAAAAATTTTCCTCGCTAAATCCTGAAAATCCGAAATCGGTTGATATGCAAGATGAAAAAACATTTCATTTAATTGCAGTATCGGTGGTAAATATTTTAAAAATTCATAAGCATGAGCATGAACTCGTCTAGCAAATCGACATCTATATGCTCATATAATTATTGAACAGTGATATCCAATCATTTCACATCATGCACACGAAAACTTTATCAAAATTTATCAAAATATGCCTAAAGCACTTTTTACAATATATTCTAATTTTTATATAGAGATAAAATTATGAGATTATTTTACTAATTATTTGTTTTATTGTATATGACCAAATGCGTGATGATAATACATCCATAATGCATGAATGTCGGAGTGAAATGGCTGATTGGGTTGTTAATTAATTCAGAGCGCCGATTGGTGAGATTCTAAACCTCTGTGAAAGCAAAACTTTATAAGAATCTGGGCGATGCTGGCGACTCATTACTACTTCTATCGGCAAAGGACTCCTCTAGCATATTTGGTGCGATAAACCAATGTAGCGAGTCAGTAATGGTAAGGATTCCAAAAA